AACATAGATATTCTTCTGGTATTCCCTGCTTTCAGCTAAGATCCATCTAACATTAGCTATAATATCCCTAGTACAACAACCCCTTCCAAACCCAGCCTGGACTTCTGGCAATTCTCTGCTGATGTGCTGCTGCTCCAGTCGTTTTTGGATAATCTTCAGTAGAATTCTATCCTTATCTTTGATTTTGGAGAATTTCACTACAATGTGTCTAGATGTTTTTCTTTTGGGTTTTAATCTGTTTGAGGTTCACTGAGCTACTTGAATGTGGATTTTGTCATTCTTCTTATTAACTGGGAAGGGTTCTTCCCTAATACCTCTTCCAAAATTTTCTCAGTGCTTTCCTTGTTTTCACCCACCTTGTGTTCTGGAAATCGGATAATACCTATCTTGTTCCTTTTAATGGTATCCCACATATTTGTAATTTTTTTTTCCATTTCCCCCTTCATCTATCTCCTTTCTGTTTTTTCTTCTAGTTTGTTCCCATTGAAATTCTTGTCCTCCATCTCACCAAGTTTCTGTTCCATCTCTTCTGTTCTGCTTTTTTTATTCCTCCAGTATATTGGAAACCTTTGCCATCTCAGTCTTGATATTTTGGGTTGTGTTTTCATGCATTTCTGTTAATTCCAAAACTGTGTTGTTTTATTCTTTCTTGTGTTTATTCTTCAATTCTTCTATTTATAGCTGTCTTCCATATTTTGCAATTTTTAAGTAGTTGTTCATGTTCTTCCACATCTATATATTTTTTTTGACCTGCTGTCTTTAGTATATTCACTTATCTATGACTTCCACTCCATTTTTTTTTCTTCCATCATTTGTATCTTCTTCGGTAGCAATTCATATAACTCTACATCAATATATTTATTCTGCTTCCTGTCTCTGTGGGGCGACAATATGTTCTGGGTTTTTAGGGAAATGCTTGTTTTGTCTTGTCTTCTACTATGTTTCATATCACCTACTGCTTTCTTGACATTATGTGAAGTTTGCCTTTTTATGTGTCTGGCTATTTCTGTTGTGCCCACGTCAGTTGGAGATTTCTTTTTTTAAATTTTATGAAGCTATAGAGTTGTTGCAGGGTTAAAATCTTCAATTTACAAGATTGGGCAACT